TAGTAGTAGTAGTAGTAGTTTTTTGCTGTGTCTTTTCTTTGTTACTTGCAGGCGCGCTGTCTGTATTAGGCTTCATCTTTGATTTGTTGTCCTTTCCTGCGTTTCTGTCGCTCGTCTTTGTTCTTCCATATGATATTTCTTGCGTTATGCCTGTATTTCTCCTGTTATTTCTTTCTTGTTTCCTTTTTTCTTGATAAATTATGTCTGTCTCTCTGTCTCTCTCTTGGTCTCGTTTTGTTCTTTTGTCTCTTTCTTTCCGGCTTTCTTTCCTTTTAGCCCCTTGCGTTCTGTCGTTCTTGCGTTAATTCTTGCTTTCCTTTGTTCTCTAGTTATTTCTTTCATCTTCGCTCTCGTTCCATCTGCCTTCCTTTCTGTGTCTCTTTCTTTTGCTGTGTCGTTCATTTGCTATTGTTTTCTTTCCTATTGTCTGTCTTTCTGTCTTTAATTCTGCTTTGTTCCGTTCTTTGTTTCTTTGTTTAGTTATTTGTTTCTCTCTGCCTCTCGTTCTTTGTTTATGCCTTTCTTGCTTTCTTTCTCTCTTTCTTTCATTATTTCGTTCTTTCGTTCGCTCCGTATTTCCTTTTTCTGCCTCCGCTCCTTCCATTTGAGTTTCCATGCTTAACGGTAGCGTTGTTTTGTTGTTGATGCGCTTGTGTTTTTTTGATGCGTTTTTCCCTTTTTGTTTGATGCATTTTTTGATGTCTTTCCCCACACCGAAGCGAAATTGCATTTTTCCGAAATTCTTCCGTGTGCTGGCACAACTTTTCTCGTGAACAAACTCGTTGTTGTGATCGGATGGCATTCAGTTCATGTTCTCACGACTCACATGTCGTGCGCCGCACCACGACAAAATTTTTGATATGTTTGCAACTGAGCCCGGCAAGCACACCACTTCCATGCTTCGCACCTCATGACAATCATTCCAAGCGTTATAGATGCGGCTCCGTAAGCAGACAGCTCATATAACTTCTGTGGGCATCACGAAACGTTGATTGCTCCGTTACGAGGATCACAAAAAAAAGACAGCGCCATGCATTCCATCCATGTGGCGCCTCAGAAAGGAGCACGAAAATCAACACAAAGATGACCAAAGGCCCTCTGGCCACAGCAAGACGAACCAAACAAAACACAATGACCACTTCTTGCATGAGATCTGCCGACACTGCATGGATTCATGGGTGTATATCATCACCCAGCGAGTGCGCATGGCCAAGTGCGACAATGACGTGAGCTGCAAAATATGGACGGTCCTGGATTGTGCAGCGCCTCCTTGGACGGCGGGCGAGCACGGGAAATTCCCGAGGCCTTCGGCGACCCCCCCTGGAAAGAGACTTTCTGTCACGGAACCTCAACTACCCCTAAACCCCAAAACCAAAGGTGACGTCGTGGACGCCTCAGCCTCGAACAGAAAACTTATGACTTATGCCCGCCGAAAGGCCTGCGGAAGATGATTCTGCAATTTTTCATGCCAGCATTCCGCTGACGCACCAAAGAATCACCGCACAAAGTCTTACGATGTGGACAAGGCTTTGCAAGAATCACACAGTTCAGACCCTAGAACATGCAAAACGTAGAAAACACAAGCAGAGTGACCAAGTATCCAAAATGCAGACTAAACTCAAATGACAACACAACATACACCAGATTCCAGCGAAGGACTGCCCACTTCTTCCCATGCATGTCTAGTCCTCAACCGCAAAACCGGCTGCAGTAGCAAAGAGGACTCCCAGGCTAAGACGTCAAAGTACGTAGTATAGGGGCCTAGGTATTTACCAATTCTATTTTGGGAGTTCCTCACTATAAGCCCAAAACCCTATTCCAATAATTAAGGCCCCTAAACCGTTATAGTAGCCCTTATAGTATCCCTTTTAAGGAGCCCTGTAAAGGAACCCCAAAACCCTATTCAAATTTTTCAGGCCCCTAGATTGGAGGCTCCGTGTCTGCTACTCAAAGCCAACACCGAGTCACTCACAAGGTGAGATCGACCCCCTGTCTCTTCGGTAGAGAAGTTTAGGGTTTAGGGGTTTGGGTTTAGGGTTTAGGGTTTAAGGTTTAGGATTTAGGGTCTAAGGTTTTGGGGTTTAGGATTTAGGGGTTCGAGGGTTTAGGGTTGGGGTTTGGGTTTAGGCGTTTAGGGTTCAGGGTGTGCCATCTCATCTGGCCTGTAATCTTGCTGTGCTGCTGACTGGTGATACAGATACCATTCATCAAGACCGGACAGTGCATCCTAAGGTCTGGCACGTCTGACAACACCGCAGACAAGGTTAGAGCGAGATTGTGTGATTCTGGGCCCGATGGCTTCGGGAATGAGTTGCAATTGTCCTCTGCACCCTAAACCCAAAACCCCTAAACCCTAAAGCCTAAGCCCTAAAGCCTAAACCCTAGAGCCTAAACCCTGAACCCTAAAGCCCAAAGCCTAAACCCCTAAACCCTAAAGCCTAAACTGCATTATCAAGAACACGTCGGAATGATTTTGCGAAGGGAAGCCTTTTGAACTGGCCCTCCAACCTTGGAGAAAACTTAATCCTAAACCCTTATATAGGGGCCTTACTAATTAGACTAGGGTTTTGGGGCCCATTATACTATACTACAATGAGGAACCCCCTATATTAAACCCCAAAAGCGAAATTCTATCCCCTAAACCCTAAACCCTAAACCCTATGTTCAACAATTGGGAGCTCTGATCTCCTGTTAGCAGCTCAACCCGAAGCCCTGAACCCTGAATGTAGGGGCCTTAACAATTGGAATAGGGGTTTGGGGCTCCTTGATAGTATCTTTATAAAAAGGAGCCCCCAAATAGTATAGTTAATTATTATTTAAGGCCCTATATGAAGCTCTACAACAGGGAGCCCCCAAAATAGTACAGTTAATTATTATTTGAAACCCTATATGAAGCTCTCTCCTCTTCTTCGGAAGCCACTGTCTCGCTTGTGGCGACTTCGGTTCCTGAGTGTTTTTTTTCCGCCCTGGGCGCTTTTGTAGCGTCGGAGCTTCGATTTTATTTAGGGTCTACAAAGCGGTTTGTACGGGCTTTACAGGATTGTAGCCCTAAGCCCTAAACCCTAAACCCTAATTGTAGCCGTAGGGTTTTACTTGGGGGGGCTCACGGTTAAGGGGGAGCTGGGTTCGTGTGAGGGGACTTGACTTCATCTAAGTCACCAGGAGCCAGGATATACAGCAAATCATGTGTGTGTGTGTGAGTGCCTTTTCATGAAAAAACGTACAAAACCTTGCAACATCTTTAAGCGATAGTAACTTGAACTAGGTTGCTGCACAAGGTCTCCAGGCTGCTAAGCCTGCAAAGCTCGCTTGAAGCCCCAGGGAGGAGGCCTATGTGCCCCCACGCGGGGGTGTTAAGTGTGGTTTCTATAATATGGGTTTTGGGCTTAGGGGCTTTCTGGTTCGGGGTATATGCGCTCAGGGTATATGGCTTTGGGGTATCAGGTGTTGGAAGGCTTGCACACAAGCCAATACCTGCAACAAGTGTTGACCGCTCTGTCCGACTGCACAAGAGCCCCATGATCTGATGTCAACTCATACAGGGGCCTCTATTCATACTGAGGGTTTAGGGTTTAGGGTTCAGGGTTTAGGGTACCATAGTAAACCCCAAAACGCTGGAAACCGGATTAAGGCCCATAAGTGCTGGGACTGCTTATACATTACTCTTAGGGATTGAGGCTGTTGGGTTTCCAACTTTGGGGCTTCTACTGTAGAGCATACCGTATCACCAGCGAGGGTCCAAGTGCTAGTATCTCCAGAACAACTCCAAAAATGTACACCCAGCGAAACTCCTCAGGAGCCCTATGTACACTCACCAAAGCCCCTAAACCCTAAACCCTAACATATAAAACCTACCTCACAGCAAGCTTGGAACTCCTCTTGCAAGACCTCGAATTGAGAGTTGCAGCAAACAGGGGACCCTAGAATACAAGGCAGCGGCCTCTTTCTACAAACATAGTAGCGGTTATACAGGGGGTACCACCCCTCAACCCGAGACTCTTAAATTAAAGGGAAACCACTACTGATTCTTAAGACGTTTCAAACAGACCCTAGATACGAAGGGCCCGTAATACGAATGGCTTGCGGTTTTTTGCAGTTTCAATGTTAAAGGAAACTACAGGTGGGGAGTTTAGGGTATATAGGGCTTCTATAAGGCTCCTATAAGGAATACAGACCTCCATAAGGCTCCTATAACGGTACCTAGACAATGACCCTCATGCAGACTTGCTGAGGTCGTCGCGGTTGTCAATCTGGATGGCTTCTCTTGTGTCTGTTGTTGGGCCAGAACACCTGTCAGGGTTTAGGATTTAGGGGTTTAGGGTTTAGGGTTTAGGGCCTAAGCCTGAAACCCAAAGCTTTCCAGAGTTCTTTGAAGAAGAATTGAAACTGTTCCACTCAGCCTTGAACCTTTAGACTGCTTCGACTCAGGAAGCACCTGAAACCCTACATCCATCCCCTGCACGCAAGCGCCCTGAAGCGCCTTAACCCTAAACCTCCGACACCCTCAAACAATGAAACACCCTAGAGCCATGAAAAAACCCTGACCCTGAAACCTCCATCCTAAGCCTGAAACCTTTTCCTGTTTCACACCTGACATGTAACCCTAAACCCTAAACCCTAAACCCAAAACCCTAAACCCTAAACCCGAAACCCCTGACATGTACCTAAGTAGAATAGTGTCTCTCTGCCTCTGGAACTCTCAGTGCAGGCTTTTGGGTTTAGGGTCTAGAGAAGTTTAGGGTTTAGGGTTTAAGGTTTAGGGTTTTAAGTTTAGGGTCTAGAGAAGTTTAGGGTTTAGGGTTTTTGGTTTAGGGTTTTTAGAGGTTTAGGGTTTAGAGAGATTTAGGGTTTAGGGTTTAAGGTTTAGGGTTTTTTAGAGGTTTAGGGGTTTAGAGAGGTTTAGGGTTTAGGGGTTTAAGGCTTAGGGCGTTTTCAGAGGTTTAGGGTTAAGGGTTTTGGAGGTTTAGGGTTTAGGGGTTTAAGGTTTGGAGAGTTTTTTTAGAGGTTTACTTAGGGCGTTTTCAGAGGTTTAGGGTTAAGGGTTTAGAGAGGTTTAGGGTTTAGGGGTTTAAGGTTTGGAGAGTTTTTTTAGAGGTTTAGGGTTGACCCTAAACCCTAAACCCTAAACCCTAGGGAAGATGTGGGGAAGCACGGTTGCTGCTCTTTGGAGGTCTCAGGGCCCACAGGGGGTAGAAACATCCGGACAGCGATGAGTAACTCGTGCCACGACTACACCTAATTATCGTCTAGGGTTTGGGTTTAGGGTTTAGGGTTTAGGGTTTAGGGTTTAGGGTTTAGGGCAGTATGGTTTTGGGGTACATAGTAGTACATCGTAATGTAAGGACTATGAGGGCACAAGCATTAGCAATTACCCTGTGTTGCCCAATCAATCCTTCCAAAGCGCACCTGGCCGTTTTCAGCTTGCCGGTGGGCCTCTTGCCGCCCATAGCGGGAAAAAGTTTCCCTCTCCGCAGACGCTTTCTGGTGGTTCCCACCAGGAGGGCCAGTGTACACCCGGCAGCAAACAGGAGCTCGCGTTGAAGTGGCAATTTGCCATACCTAGGGCCCCAGACCTACAACATAGGCACTAGGCCTGTTCGCATTTCTTTTGCCAGAACCCCAGAAACAGGTTACTGTTCGGAATAGTACCAAGAAGCCCCTCAACAGAATTTCTTGTCTGTTGTTATTATTGTTAAACGCTTCTCCTGCGGATTGCCTCAGTTCAAGGCTGGTTTTGCTTCTGGAATACCACCCTCAACCTTATCCAAACCAAGATGCAGCGTGGCCCGAGACAAGGAACGTGGCGCAGGCCATGGCGATCTGGGCGGACTACAAAGATTTGAGCGGGCGAGTGCCGGTGGTGGCTGGGAGCCACAGAACTCCATGGCCATTTTCCCGGTTGCCGAATTTCCTGCCACAACACAGGTTCGACGTTATTTTTTACGCTCCTGAACTGGCATAGCTTCCTGCTACTGAAGTTGCAACTCTGCAGCTCCTCCAGCCCCGTTAGCAGCCTCAGCTATCAGTTTTGGAGCAACTTGAAAACTCAAACCTCAAGCTAGCCGCAAATACTTACCTTGAGGGTGAACAATAGCCTTCATCATTCCTCCACCTTAAGCCCTAAGCCCTCATAATAATGGAAATTATGACTGGCATAGATATTACTGCTACTACTGCTGCTGCTGCTACTACTACTACTACTACTACTACTACTACTTATAGTAATAAAAGTAATAATAACAGTCATAGTCAACCGCTGCTACGCCTGAAGGTTGGCAGTGAGTTCTGTCGCTCCGCCCCACTCACGAACCTAAAGTCAGCGGCTCATCACCGTGAGCTCCTTTTTCTGACCTGGCCGTGAGAACCGGCACCAAGGAAAATGATTGAAAATGGAAGGCTTCTGCCTCGAAAGAGCTTGAGCCAACAGGACAGGATCACGCAATCGCAAGGCATGCGCCGTTCAGCTGACGGAGGTTACCAGTTTTGTGCTACTTGGGCGGCACTGGCTCGCGCATGTCGCCCGAACATTCCCCTCAACACCATTCCACAAGATGGCAGCGGTTTCTAGGAGAAAAGCCCGCGCCAGAGTTCGCAATGCTCGTCTCTAGTGACTCTAGTGTCAGTGTAGCATTGGATTCTGATCTTCTCTTGCGTTTTCTTCCTGTTGCTACAGCTGCTGACAGCTACTAGTACCGAGCCGACGACGACGACTATTGGTGCTACCTCCACGGCTGCTGCTGCTGCTGCTACTACTACTACTACTACTACTACTACTACTACTGCGACGACCACTACTACTCCTGCTGCTGCAAGAAGCTGTCAACCCCGAACCCCACATGCTCTTCTCGGTGTTCCACTGGTGCCCTCCCATGTTCCGCTCCTCAAGTACGAACTGTGTCGCGGCCACGATGGCTTCCTTGAGTCCAGGGGTAGCGACAACTGCCAGGATTAGCGTTGTCGTGACTCTTAGTGTCAGGGTCTTGGGATTCGGGTTTGGGGTTAGGGTTTAGGGTTTACCCCTGCAGGCTTTGGGGCTTCTGTTGTTCGTGACAAAGAACCTAAGTTCGGTGGTCATTCGGATCTGATCTTCATAGGTCATCTTCATACACATCCGATCGCACCCCGGGATCCAGTGTCTTCAGATCCTCATCCCCCAAAGCTCCTTGCCGTCTTGCGCTCTAAGTTGGGAGCTCTTGGAAGCCCCAAACTCGAAACTCTTCGACCTCAAACGCTAAAGCCCCAGCGTCTAAAAGACCCTAAAAGTCCCAAACCCCTCAACACCATCACGCCCTAAGCACCATAATCACAACCCCCACTCAACTGAGCATAGCAAAACACCCAGGCTAACAACTTTAAAACCCCCAAATCGCAACCCAAAGCCCGAAACCCTAACTCAAACTTCCAGACCAAACATACTTTGAAGCTCATCCGACCCGAAACCCTCAACCCTAAACCCCTAAACCCCAAACCCTAAACCCTAAACCTCAACACCCTAAACCCCAATCCCCAAACCCTGAACCTCAACCCCTACCTGAGCACCGGGCTTCTGCCTTGGCATTCTCCCCCGTCAGGCCTTGTGACAGCGCCTCCTTGGCCAGAACCAAAGCCGAGACCTCGGAGGACAACGCGGGGCTTAGGTTTTAAGTTTTAGGTTTGGGGGTTATAGAGGGTTTAGGGTTTAGGGTTTAAGTTTAAGGCTTGGGGGTTATAGAGGGTTTAGGGCTTAGGGTTTAAGTTCAAGGCTTGGGGGTTAGAGCCTGAGTTTAGGGTGTAGAGCTTAGGGTATAGACTTTGTAGATTAGTTTCGGGTTTCAAGTTTATGGTTTAGGGTGTAGAGCATAAGGTTTACGTTCCTTGCCTGGAGAGTCGGGTACTTATCAAGCATTTGTTCTTACAGACTTGTAAGTATCCGAAAAGGGGGCTATGATAATTACAACTTTATGAAAATATGAGCTTGCTCTGGCCTCTCCAGCCCAAAGTAAGGGTTCATACGATTAGGGTTTAGGGCTTAGGGTTCTTTTTCAAGCACCTCTTTCCACCTAGCAGTCAAGGTCGGCAGAATCCACTTTGTGGTTTAGGGTTTAGGGTTTAGGGTTTACAGATTACAGACCTTGGTTCTCAAGCGTGCAGCGGCGCTTTGCGGTAGTCTTGAGTATGAGGCAAAACCGCGAAGATTCCTGCTCCTTTCCTTTGTAAACGGGGGTCTAGTACTATGAGGCTTTAATAATTGAAACAGGATATGGGGGTATGTTATACTATACCTAGAATAAGGAACCCCCACAATAGTCTTAGTGTTTATTTAGGCCCCTATAGTACATTGGACTCAGTGAGGCAATCATGGTTTCGGTCTTTCTGTACTTGATTAAGGTTCCAGGAGCTTGTGATGTACTATGGGAGTCTGGAGAGTTAGTAATCGCATCCCCTGTTTTTCCCTACAGAAATATACCAAAATCTACCCCCCCCCCCCCCCCC